CAGCTTCCTGGAGGTGATCAGCAGGGCATAAGCTAATTGCTTCATTTCTGGATACATTATTTCGGCGTCCAGCAGTCAATTACTCGCGTAATACACTGGCTATTGAACTCTACCCTCTTCCTGAATGAGAGCTGCCCTAACCGCATGAGGAGAGATGGACAGGTACAGGAGTAGAATTTCCTTGGGTAAAGGCTTGGATAGGAGAGGTGGCTTTTCGAGATGTTCTTTTATACTCTAAAAAGCCTGTTCGCACTCTGGAGTCCACTCGAACTTCCTATTGGCCTTGAATATACTAAAAAAAGGCAAGAAACAATCTGTTGCTCTCGATATGAAGTAACTAAGAGCCACTATTCTCCCATTTAGGCTCTGAAAATGTTTTCGGTTGGTCGGGCTTTTCATATTAAAGAAAGTCTGGATCTTCTTGGGGTTGATTTCGATTCCCCTTTGGTTAACCATATACCTTAGAAACTTTCTTGAGGATACTCTGAATGAGCATTTAAGAGGATTGAGCTTCATCCTGTACCTTCAGAGTACATTGAACATCTCAGTGAGATGCGCTATGTGATCTGAAACGACATGCGACTTGACCAGCATGTTATAAACGTAAACTTCCATCAACTTTTCGATCTGCTCAGAAAACATACGATTAACCAGCCACTGGTAAGTTGCCCCAACGTTTTTTAGGCTGAAGGGCATGACCTTGTAACAATACAGTCCCCTATCTATAACAAACGAGGTATACTCTTCATCCGATGTGTACATCGAGATCTAATTATATCTCGAGTAAGCATCCATAAAACTCAACAGCTCGTGCCTAGAGGTGGCATCAACGAGCTGATCAATCCTTGGCAAGGGAAAATTGTCATTCGGACAGGCTTTGTTGAGGTCGGTGAAGTCAACACAAGTTCGCCACTTGTCATTAGGCTTCTTTACCAAAACCGAATTGGAATCCCAGGTTGGGTAAAGTGCTTCTCGAATGGACCCGTTCAAAAGGAGCTTATCTACCTCAGTTTTCAAGGTAGCGTAGCGCTCAGGGTCCATGGCTCTTCTCTTCTGGCGAACCGGTTTGACTGCATTATCAATGTTAAGTGCATGACATATGACATTCGGGCTGATCCCGATCATGTCAGCATGAGTCCATGCAAAAACATTGACATTTTCTCTAAGGAAGCTTGTCAGACTTTTGGCGAGCTGGAGATTGAGATTACTCATGATTCTCAACACTTGGGTCGGCTCATTTTGATCGACTGATACCTCATATAGGTCCTCAACTGGCCCACTATAAGGGCACTCTTGGATGCGAGGATCTATGTCGTCCTCTACTAGGCTGGGTTGTGGCTCGATTCTGCTGATCGCCATAGCCTACTCGGGGATGCCTATTGGCATGCCCTTTCCCTTGCACGCCATCTGTACTGCTCTAATGTAGCAGTCGCGAGATTCGCGTTGAGATCCTTTTACTTTCCCAATCCCCGTCGGGGTGGAAAACTTCATTTTCAAATGATAGATAGAGGTGACTGCCTTGAAATTTCGCAGTAGAGGTCATCCCAGAATGCCATTGAAGGTGGACGAAAAATCTACCACCAAAAACTCCGTCATTTTGGTCATTTTGTTGGTTTCACCCAACGTGACTAGGAGTAAGATCGTTCCCCTAGGAATCAGATGATCCCCAATAAAACCATAGAAAGGGATGGAGGCAAGCTTCAGGTCTGCCTCGTCCAATTGCATTTTTTCAAAAGCTCGCTGAAACAGGATATTCACAGCGCTTCCATTGTCCACCAACATTATGTGGACTTCACATCGACCTATTTCAGGTGAGATGACGAGTGCATCTTCATGGGGATGATGTAGTCGCACTGCGTCTTTCTCAGAGAAGGTGATCTCCACCTCCCTGCGAACCTTAGCGAATCGCGACGCCGTGCTTATCACACTCACTGAGTCATGACGAGCTTCCCGAGCATACCTCTCTTGGGCACCTTGAGAGTTCCCCACGAGGTGTGGTTCTCCAAAGATGATCCCTACATAGTATAGACCCTTGCAACCACGGTGATTGTTCCTCTTGATCCTTTTCCCGAACGGGAGTCGGACCATCAACATACTCTTTGAAGTCCCCTGCTTGATGAGGTCTTTAATTGCTTGCTTGAGAGCCCGAAACTCATCAGTGTGCCCATTATCCTGATGATAGCGGTAGTACTTTTTGTTGTTTCTAGTTAACGCGGGATTCTTCATGGGCTCTAGCTCTCCGAGCAGGCTGGCCTTCTCTGACTTATCCATAATAGCTGACACTAAGGCATTCAAAGGAATGTATTGACTTTTGTCGCGATCATGACAAGGAATTAGGGCATAAGATTTTTTGGGCTCAAATTGTTGCTTCTTTCCTTTTTGCTGATCGTCATTAGCCCATCTGTGATCAACCCTTCTACTGTTCTCCCCCCGGTTCGGAGCACTGATCGAGGGGCGAGGTCGTGGCGATTAAGAGTGGCCACATAATTTTCGATTTGGAGATATTTCTTAGTGAGGTTGTAAAAGCGAGTAAGGGAAACATCGACTTCGGATTGCAGTTACTTCCATAAGTCAGTCTATAGGCAAACCCCTGTGATAATGAGAGTCCAAACGGATTCTTCGAGAGTATGAGCCACTTTGTGGCTTTCCCTATGAAATCTGTCTATGTAAGATTAGAGGGATTCATTCCTCTTATGTCGATAGCTCAACGGCATCGAGAACTTCCTGTTCGCCTGGAAGTGTCTCAGAAATGATGAGTTCATTTGTTGCCACAAGCTGATTGATCTCGCAAGAAGTGATTTGAACCAGCGCTTGGCATAGGCAGTTACGATTACTGCTAAGCAGCAACATTTGGCTAATTCAGAGACCTAGTAGAGTTCCATGAGGTCATTGAACTCGTAAAGGTGATCCTACGAATCTGAACTCCTATCGAATGCCTGCATATCGGGTATTCTAAATCTTGATGAGAGAGGAGTAGCTAAAACTGCTGGAGAAAAGGGAGACGCCTTTGCAACCTTCCCACGCTCATTCTGTTGAGCCTTAAGTTGATCCAAATCTCGTTGTAGTTCCTCAATCTGAGGCAACGGAGCCTCTTGGGGATCACTTTCTGTAATGTGGGTTCGACCCTAACGATTGCAATTGAAGAAAGACCGCAAATCGGGCTCTTCCTCAACTCGGCTGGAAGCTTCGGCAAACCTTGACACATGCTGGCTGGGGCTGTGTGAAGTCATTGAATGGCTCGGGGAGTTTTCTCAATCTCTGCGGTGGTCAGAACCAACCCACGGTCGACGGGGGTTTCCCGCATGATGACGGTCGAGGTCATCATTTTAGCGATATTGGGAATCTCCCTGTCTTGCACTTTTGTAGGAGTGCGCATGCGAGGTGGCATGGGACGGCTCATGTTGCAATATGTCGCCGAGTCACAATGCCACAGGTATTGTACCCGTTGCACGACCGATGTTTTGCTGGTCCCTCAAAGCCCTTTGGTCCACTGCTTTTCACTTGCTTTCCTTTACCGGCTTTTGCCTTTTTCTGTGCTTTTACGCGACTTGTAGGCGTCTTTGGCGGTGACACCACTTCATTGGACTCCGGTGCTAAGACCTGATCCAAACAGTCCAACCTTTGGCTAATCGTTTAGAGAGTATTATTGAACCTCTCCAGGTAACTCATCATGGCTGGGTCGAGCTGTGAGCTTGAAGGAATATCCGTCATGATCCTCTATTGGACTGGTGGCACTTCGGGAAAAGTGTCATCCTGTACCCGGGGGATTTCCTCATTGTCAAGGTCGATTTGCTCAGTTTCGAAACCGCAAGCCATTTGCTAATGGGTAGGACCGATCGGTCAGAAGTTTTTTATGAAGAGCAGATACTAAATCAAGCCCTCCTTCTAACACCAAACTTTTGATGCTTGATTTTGACACTCACATGTGCAAAGTGTTAAGCGGGCTTAGAAATTACACGTGGTATGAAAATATGTAGCGAGAGAATGAATAAAAAACGGTTTTTAAGGTGGTTCGGATGCTCAAAAGTGAATCCTACGTCCACTGCAGTTGTATTAATAGATGGTTACAGTCAGGTCGCGTGCAACGAGCTAAGTTACAATCTAGAGAGAAAGAGAGAATGTATGTTATTTAAGACTAAAGATAAGCCAATCTCGTAAATGAGAGAGGAGCCCTCTATTTATAGTTGGAGGATTCAAGGTAATAATCACGAGTCTGCAGTCTGACAGGTGTGGTACAATTCCTAACCCGCTTTCCATTGGTTGTCTGCACGAGAGACATCCTTAAATCGTGTAGGGCTTAGGTATGTGGACGATTCCTAGTCACTCGCAAGCCTGGCATTCACCTACTGCATTGACGAGAACCATATCTCTTCTGTCATTGCGCAACGTGGCAGTGTCTAGACGGCACAAAACCTCCCTGAAGTCTGATTGGTCCTTGCTGACGAGAGTCCACGTCAGCCCTGACTTTTTAGGCATAACACTATTATTGTTTTTTGTCTATGGTTGTTTTTTCTTTTGGTTCCAAATACTATACATTATTTCAGTATTTACATGCTACATAATAATTATTGCCATTATGAACTTGTGGGATGTGACTTCAATGATAATCCTATTATCCAAGGAGCTTGTTAGGGAATTAATGGTGTTTTTACTGACAATGCAGCTTCAGATTCTTTCCAGCAACTAATGATTTTTAGTTTAGTTTCTTAGAGACATGGAAATGAATCGAACATACAAGTCTAAAAATCAATGGTGCACAATTTTGTATTTAGTTATTATATTTTTTAATAGATTTAAGTAAAAAAAAAAAAAAAATCAAGAAAGACTTTCTAGAAAAAACTATTTCGAGTCTTCCACTCATTATGGTACGTAGTGAGCCTATGAAAAGTGATGAGTCAAGAATGTCTGCTGTGGAATCCCACTCCAATTATCCCTTCCACTAAGTCATTATAAGAAGAACCTTCATTTAATGGAGCTTCAAGTGAATAAAAATGAAAACAATGACTTTGCTGCCCAGTTTTCTTCTATTAAATTTTCTATGCATCTGTTTTGCCGCTGATCCTTTGGGGGATTATTGTAACAAAGGCACTAGCGTAAGCGGCAGTAGCCAGGCATCAGCTAATATTGATAAGTTGTTGGATGAACTGGTTTCCAAAACTTCCGTAACTGGTTACATTGCTACTTCCTATGGTGAAGACCCACAAAAAGTCTATGGCCTAGCACAATGCAGAGGAGATATCAGCAGCAAAGATTGTTCAACTTGTATCCAAGATGCAGCGAAGCAAATTCGCGAACGTTGTCCAGATGAAGCTGATGCTAGGATTTGGTATGACTATTGCTTTCTACGATATAACGAAGAGAGTTTTATTGGGAAAGTTGACACTGGTTATGGTATATTCTACTATAATGTTGAAAATGTAACAGATCCTGAAAGTTTTAACAGAGAACTAGGAGCTTTAATGGACAAGATAAGATCACAAGCTGTTTTGCCTAAGAATGAAGGGCTTGGGAAAGGCAAAACTACACTGTCATCATTTCTGACTCTTTATGCTTTGGTGCAGTGCACAAGAGACCTAGCTCCTATTAATTGTGCTCAGTGCCTGGCCATTGCTATTGGAAATTTTCCTAAGTTTTGCGACAGCAGGAAGGGATGTCGAGTTCTATATAGTAGTTGTTACGTTCGCTATGAACTCTATCCATTTTTCTTCCCTCTTGATTCAAACAATACCCACCCTGATGCTTCAATCAAGACAATAGTTTATCCATAGATATTCCAGTCCTAGTTTGCCACATCAAAACCAGTTTCTTCTGAGAAAATGATGCATGATCTTAAAGACAATTTTATTTCAATCTGTAATTTTATTTAAGTTATGTACATCAGATCAAATAAGCATAAAATGCTACAGAGCGATCTCTATTATCAATATTTACAATATGCTTTTTCTGTTTCAAATCTCAATGTGTATGTTTACATAACATTTTCTTCTCTTTCAACAACACAAGCAGTTCAGGATCAAATATCTTCGCCTTTGGAGTATACTTTGCAGGAAATCAGACTAATTGTTGGCTTTTCCCAGACTTCTAGGAAAAGGGATTGCATCTTTGACATCAATGAGGCCAGTAATGAAGAGAACCATGAGTTCAAACCCAAGACTAAATCCAGAGTGCGCTACTGTTCCATGCCTGCGTAGATCCAAATACCATTCATACTGCTCTTTTGGCAAGCCCAATTCCTCGATCCTGAAACAAGATATCAATGAACAATTTTATGGACTCGAGAATGATACAGCGTCAGAGGGACCTCAGGTTAAACTTGTTTATTAAAACTTCCGGAAAACTAAACATATTTATTCTCCTAGATTAGTTCGTATAGAATTGAATTGGCATTAGATTACCTTGTATTCAGCTTATTAAGGCGTTCCTCATTTTGGCTGCCTGTAATCAACTTTCCAACCTGCAAGCATATGCATGGCCTTTTTATAACTAACCTAGAATGTAAAATGTATTTAGTTCCTTAAACTTTTTAGAAAAATGTAGAGCTCACCTTTGGTACAACCATATCAAATGCTGCAACTGTGTTTCCATCATCATTAAGGCGTACATAAAATGGTTTAACCGCTTTGGGATAATCATATACGATTACAGGACACTTATAGATCTCATCAGCCAAATAACTGTCATTAAATTAAAAGAAAGCAAGAGTTAACAGCCACTTAACTCCTGTCATTTCAGATACTTGCATATTTATATTAAAAGCAGAACATGAATACCTTAGATGTTCGGCTGTGAGAGCCACACCCCACTCGAGTTTTGCTTCGAAAATCTTTTCTGTAACCTAGTTAATAATTAATAACAAAAGAAAAAAGGCTTTATGAGATAAAATTGCTAATGTCAACATGTTTTACCAAACTGTTCAGCTTCAGCTTTACCTTTTCCAGAGCTTTCACTGCTTCTGTGTAGGTAATCTTTTCAATGGAGGATGACATCATTGATTGCAGCCGATCAATAATGGTTTTGTCAATCCGTCTGGAGATAAATTCCGCATCTCGTTCACAGTTTTCAACAATCCATGTGCAGAGGAACTTGAAATAGTCATCCGCACAATTCATGACATCCTGGGAAATCCGCAATGTATAAATATCAACATAGAATAATTACTCTGCATGTGGGACAGTATGACCAATCTGTTAGTTGACCAAGGCCTAATGTAGATGGTTCCAAATAATCTTAGCTGGTTGTTATGCATAGTATGCAAGGACAAACTCCTAATTCAAGAATATGATTGTCATTATATTTTCCACATAAATGTTTTGGTTGATAGGCGGAAAGCACCATAAACTCGGTCAATAATACTACCATGTTATAGTATCTATCTTGAAGGCATGTACAGTCTTAATGAAACCCAAATTAGGTACATTTGCACATGACTATCCCCCTATGTTTCAGCTATGCAAAATTGAATCACTTATATGAATCTCTAGACTTTGTGAATTTATAAGCAAAATGCCGACTACAAAAAATACTAATTTAGATAGTGGTGAACTGACTTTGTAAAGGAGAACTCGTACCTCTAATTGTGAAAAAGCGATTTCAGCCTCAACCATCCACATCTCTGCCACTTGTTTAGATGACTCTTTCTTCTCTGCTCGAAACCTGGGTCCAAATGAGTAAACCTTTCCAAGGGCACACGCATAACTCTCCAAATGAAGGCGACCGGAAACAGTGAGATAGGTCTGGCGAGAGAAGAAATCTTCAGAAACGTTAATTTTATCAGTCTTAATTGAAGGCACTGGCTGCGTTTTTTCTTTTGCCTCTAGCTGTGATGCTATTTCATTTGTCTTCCTTAAATCCTGAAGAGCAGCAGCGAGTGCTTCCTTATTGCTTTCACTTCTCTTGAGTTCTTCAACTTGATTGCTTTTTTCCTTTATAGCAGCCTTTATATTGTCAAGGCTAACGCCTTCAATTTCCTTGGCGGCTTTTGGCTCCTCTTTATCTGCTTTTTCTAAAAGAGTTGTCACCTGGAACTTCTCACTAAATCCTTCAGCATCAGTGGTGGTGATAATGGGAACTTGAACATACAAAAACCCATTGTTTTGGAAGAATGTGTGAGTTGCGAAAGACAGGGAACTACGGATTCGCATAATAGATGCCACCTACATGGCGTTAAACATTCTAAGATTTAGTTTCTGGATATGCTTGTTATGTCGGAAAATTGAACATGCTAGATGTGCTTTTAGATGTGGCTGATATATCCAATCGTAATACTGTGAAGTTATATGATGAGATAAAAACATCTCAATTGTAATGAGGGATGCAAAAACAAAAAGAAACTTACAGAATAGCAATAGATGAAAAAATTACCGTAGTTGTACGAGGCCGAAAATGGGCAGAATCCCTTAGCTTATCGAGTGGTAGTCGCTTTCTCGATAAAATATACTTATCATGATCAACCGTCCCAACATGAAGAATTTTATCTACTTTGAGTTCAACAACACGATTTCCCTGAAATGAATGATCCAACACACCTTCTGCTAATATACAAGTTCCAATAGGCAGAAGTCTGCTAGGTGAAGCCAAAGTAGATTCCACCACCACCTGAAATATCGTAATT